AGGAAATATGCTAATTGACTGCCCCTCCCTCAGAGATGGCAGCACCCACAGCCACAAGATGGCTGGCAGGGGAGGGCAGTTGTGGGCGATCAGGCCAGCAGGGGAGAACAGTTAGGGGCGATTAGGCAGGCAGGCAGGCAGGCGAGCTGTTAGGAGCCAGCAGTCCCAGATTGCGAGAGGGTGCAGGCCGGGCTGAGGGGATCCCTCTCTTCCCCCCCACCCCTTCACGGGCCTCCAGTATTTAATAATTTTCTATTATCAGATACCTTTTCTTATTTTTCCTATAAATAATAATATATTAAACATTTTGACAGAAATTTTGCAATTACATTGAATCTTTGGGATAGAATTATAGAGGTAGAGTTATTGATTCAAAGAATCTAAATATTTTACATGCACTTAGAATATATTTTTTTGATGTCTTTTATTCTGCAGAAAATATCCATTTGATATTTTCTATCATTGCATCTTGCTTTTAGATAACATGATTATCTTACTTGATTGTTTAATTTGATTCTGCACTTTCCAATTTTAATTTGTTTTAAAAAAATTCTCGAAGAATTCTTCTGCATTCCCAGTTGTACTAGGAACCAATATATTTTATTTTAAAGGCTAACAGCATTTCTTATACTTTTGTGTACTTAGTAATCTGACTGGCTTTAATGTACAAATCAGGGAATTCAGCAGCAGCACTTCTAGAAAGATCAGACAGCTGCAGCAGCAGGCTATGTCTAAGAAATTTGTATTTGTGAATATGAGAAGAGAAATTCATATTAAGAATTTGGAATATGATTTTAGCATGCTTTGACATTAAAGTTTTGGTATAAAGGTGCTTATTTCTTCAACATCAATAAAATTATTAAAGTGCTTAAATGTTGGCCTTTTTATGTGAAAATACCGGTCATTCTAACAGTTCTTTCCTGGCACTTACTGTTCTTCACCATCCATCCCATCTTTTCTTTGGTTAGGGTTACCTCTTCTGGTTCAGAGAACAATTGCCAGGACGATTATTCTCCAGGAGATTGTAGGAAAAGGCCGATTTGGTGAGGTCTGGCATGGAAGATGGTGTGGGGAAGACGTGGCTGTGAAAATATTCTCCTCCAGAGATGAAAGATCCTGGTTTCGTGAGGCAGAAATTTACCAGACGGTGATGCTGAGACACGAGAATGTCCTTGGTTTCATTGCTGCTGACAACAAAGGTATTTTCAATCTAATTGGTTTCAGCAAAGAAAGTGTTATGTCTATTATCAGATGAGAATAAATCATCTTTTTATTTTAATAAAGTCTACATAAAAGTCTAATTTCTTTATTGAGAAAAGAAAAAATCCTTTCTCTTCCCCATAGATACACGTGTGTAACCATACGATAAAGCAGGGCAAAGGGCAAACCTGTCATATGAAATGATGATGACACTGTAGCCAGGTTGACATTTTAAATATTTGATGGCTGGTGAACTTCCCAATCAGATCAGAAATTTCAACTGGAACAGAATCCTGGGAGAATCCTGCCATGCTGGTTTTTTATCCCTGTGGTTGGTGGATCATGAGAGATCTGGAGGCATCTTGGTGGGGGTAGGGGTTGGGGTGGGGGCTACTTTGAGTGTCCAGGGGAAAGGAATGTCACTGGGAGTTTTCAATAGTAGCTCTTAGCTAACCAGGACAGAAATATTTCAGTATTTTGATAATTGATACAAATATATCAGTGAATGCTAGTTGAATGTTCACCTTTGCCAGGACTATAGATTTCATCTGTGCAACAAGCTTAAACTCCAGGATGCAAGCTTTCTGTGACCACCAAACAGTATCACTTTTTGAGTTTTGTGGAACAAGACAGAGCATCAGCTTTCTGGTATTTAAATAATACTTAAAAAATATTGTATATATCCCTGAGCAATCAGGGACTGGATATAAAGTTTGTAGATTACCTATGCTCTCTTTTCTTTTTTTTTGCATAGCTTTTATTCATTTAACTGTGCATTAGTTTCCTTAAAGGGGAACAGGGAACAAAGGTGAGTGTATCTCCAGTCCATTGGTTTTTATTTGATTCAGTAATACATAAAGAACTTTGGGAGGTACAGATTGTAACCTTTAGCTAAAAAAACCCAAATTATCTGTGGATATCAGGTACCTACCAATACCTATAAAAATTAAAAATCTATGATTATTTTTATATAATACTAGAGTCCTGGTGCATGGATTCTTGCACTGGTGGGGTTCCTCAGCCTGGCCTGCACACTCTTGCAATCCGGGACCCCTCGGGAGATGTTGGCTGGCCTGTGGGGATTGGGCTGAAACCGGCAGTCCAACATCCCCTGAGGGATGTAGTAGTGTGCGAAGTGGCAGGCAGCCATGGAGGAGCCTGAGCCTGAGCCGGGTACCACACTGCTCCCGCTCATCCCAGCCCCACTGCACCTGCCACCACAGTGGCTCGGTAGTGCTGTCTTGGAGGCGGGAGAGGCTTGCGCCACTGCAGCTGTGCTTGCCAGCCATGAGCCTGGTGTCTGGCACCCCTTGGTCAGCTGAGCACACTGACCTCCAGGGGGCAGCTCCTGTGTTGAACGTCTTCCCCATGGTGGTCCATGTGAATCATAGTGACTGGTTGTTCGGTCGTTTAGTTGGTCGCTTAGGCTTTTATATATATAAATAATCTGGATCATGAAAGTATCCATTATTAATTACATGGCAAAAGAGAAACTTAGGTTATTATACATTTTGGCCATGATTACATTTGCTAATGATTTATCTTATCTGATTTGCTAGAGAAAAACTGTGTAAAGCCAAGATGAGCTTTAAAGAAAGATTCTTCCAGGAAACTTATATGCTTACTAGAGGCCCGATGCATGAAATTCATGCAAGGGGCTTGGCCCTCGCAGCCATGGTGGCTTGCCTTGGCCCTCGCAGCTGCGGCTTCATCCAGAAGGTCATCTGGAAAGATTTCTGTAATGTCGTTTGGTTGTCCGGTCTAATTAGCATATTACACTTTTATTATTATAGACTAGAGGCCTGGTGCACAGATGGGGGCAGGCTCGTTTGCCCTGAAGGGTGTCCTGGATCAGGATGGGCGGCCCGCCTGGGTGCCTGGCCAGCCTGGGGGCGGGGCTGATGGCTGTTTGCAGCTGGTCACACCCCCTTCAGGGTGGGGGTCCCCACTGGGGTGCCTGGCCAGCCTGGGGGCGGGGCTGATGGCTGTTTGCAGCTGGTCACACCCCCTTCAGGGTGGGGGTCCCCACTGGGGTGCCTGGCCAGCCTGGGGGCGGGGCTGATGGCTGTTTGCAGCTGGTCACACCCCCTTCAGGGTGGGGGTCCCCACTGGGGTGCCTGGCCAGCCTGGGGGCGGGGCTGATGGCTGTTTGCAGCTGGTCACACCCCCTTCAGGGTGGGGGTCCCCACTGGGGTGCCTGGCCAGCCTGGGTGAGGGGCTGAGGGCCGTTTTCAGGCTGGCGGGTGACGGAAGCTCTCAACTGCTCCTTTTTTCCTTTTTTTTAATTTTGGGATTTATGTACCTTCTATGGCTGTCACTGGAGCTGAGAGCTGGCTTTAGCTCTGAGGCTCGGCTCCAGCTCTGAGACCTCGGCTGCTGGAAGCAGGTATCTGGGCTTTGTTTAGCTTCTATAATTGCAACATTGTTTCTTAGAGTGCAAGCTCAGAGCCCAGCAGTGGCAGGCGGGGGACTTTGGCTTCCTCCTTCACTGGAGCAAGCAAGCCTCCTGTTCGTTTCAGCTGCCTGGCTGCCGGCCGCCATCTTGGTTGGCAGTTAATTTGCATATCTCACTGATTAGCCAATGGGAAGGGTAGCGAAGTTACGGTTAATTATTGTTTCTCTATTATTAGATAGGATATTCATAGCCCCTGGGCACAGACAATAATGTGGTGAAGGTCTGGGAGGGGTGGGTGCCAGGTGGAGGTGGTCAGTGGGGGGAAAAAAAAGGGACATCTGTAATACTATCCTCTATAATAAAAGATTAATATGCTAAGTGTCTGGTTGTCCAGTCGGCCATTCAACCAATCAAAGCGTGATATGCTAATGATATGCTAAGGCCACTCAACTGTTCGCTGTGACGTGCACTGACCACCAGGGGGCAGACACTTGATCAGTCAACCAGTCGCTACGATGTGTACTGATCATGAGGGGGCAGATGCTCCAGCCTGTAGGTTAGCTTGCTACCGGGGTCTGGCCGTGGAGCCCTCCCGTAGTCCTTCCCTGGCTGGCCAACCTCCCACATCCCTCCCCGGCCCCAATCATGCACCGGTGGGGTCCCTCAGCCTGGCCTGTGCCCTCTCCAATCTGGGACCCCTCAGGGGATGTTGGAGAGCCAGTTTAAGCCTGATCTCTCAGGCTAGGCCGAGGGACCCCACTGGTGCGTGAATTTGTGCACTGGGCCTCTAGTCAACAATAAAGATAAATTAAAAAGAAATAAAAGATTCTTTCCAAATTCTTAACTACATATTCTTTGAAAATATATCCAGCCTATTGAAAATGAAACATTTCTTGTTAAGCTGTTAAGAAATTCTTTTCCTTCCTAATGTTGAGTTAAACTACCTACTGGTTAGATTAATTAGAATGTGGTGAAAGCAGTAATGACTTATAGTTATATGGAGCATCTTGATGGTCTAATTTAATCATGATGTTTATTGGATTATAAAACAAGAAAGATCATTTGCACAAGAAAGATCATTCTTGATTTTCTCTTCTTCAGTTACTGGTCTACCTCTGTCAGTGGTTTCCTTGTCAGTAGCTTTGTGCCTGATTCCAAATGGTCTCTAACATCACTTTCATCATCATGCATTTTTGTATTTTTTGCAACACTTAAAGTTTCACTTTTTAGTCAACTGTCTGACAAAGACATTGATGTGAGAAGGCAAAGATAGCCACTGGTGTTAAGCTGGGAGAGAGGTGTGAGTAAGGGTTAGTTTTATATAAGGTCAGTTTATGATGTTATGCTTACTTTTTTCATTGCTAGGAAGTATTTTCACTACCAGCTTTGGAAATTAAATGCTTGGATAAAGAGGAGCTCTTGTACTTAACACTAGGTAGAAAAAGTCCTTAGCAATGATTTTTTTATAGTTTTGTTTCTCTGAGCATCGGAACTGGTCAGGAGTGCCCAGGGCTATTGTAGACACTTTATCCTGAAAGCTAAAGCTAACTCTAGGACTATAATACCTAAGAAGACTTAGGCTGTTTTTTTTCTTCTGCTAACAATCTTTTATAAGCTTGATTAGCTTTTGGTTTAATAGGGGAGAACTATATGAAAATGTCTAGTTATTGTATTTGGCTCTTAATATACAATATTTGGGGGAGATCATCAACTTCATATTAGAAAGGTAAGTAATATTAGCATTCTTAGAATGTTAGAGCTCCTATGGCAGTACAAATACTTTGTGTAAATTTTTTATATTTCTATTTTTTATTGGTACAATGTTTCTTAAAATCTCAAGAGAAATTTATAACACAACACTGAGCCTAAATACATCTCTCAGTAGTTTCTCCTATAATGTGGTTGCTATCACTGGCAAATATCAAGGGAATAAGAAAGTTGTTCAGTTAGAATCACTGCCTCACAGCTTCCTATAGCTATGGTGGGAACATATAACAGGTTGTAATATATCAACATCTTCAGGAACTCATTGAGACTTTTTACTTTACGAATTTGAACTGTCAGCATTATCCATGAAGGAATTAACTTTGCTTTGTTAACAATACAGATTTACTAGAAGCACTGACATTTGTTAAAAACTTTTGGCTTCTTTTTCAACATATATTTACAGCACCCCAATTTTTTCCTGTTAGATAATGGAACTTGGACCCAACTTTGGCTTGTCTTGGAATATCATGAACAGGGCTCCTTGTATGACTATTTGAATAGAAACATAGTGACCGTGGCTGGGATGATCAGACTGGCACTTTCCATAGCTAGTGGTCTGGCCCACCTTCACATGGAGATTGTTGGTACACAAGGTAGGTATTTTATTTCCCAGTTTTTCTCTTTAATATGAAGATAGGACCACTAAGTTGTATTTTATTTATTTATTTTTGTTAATCATCACCTCAGAATATTTTTGCCATTGATTTTTTAGAGAGAGTAGAATGGAAGAGGGGGAGAGAGAGAGAACATTGATGTGAGAGACACATCGATTGGTTGCCCCCCCACACGCATCCCAACTGGGGCCAGGGATCAAACCTGCAA